TGGTGGGAGGGTTTATATTATTTTGGTGTCCCCGGTCATGGGGAAGTGTCCCCATGTCCATTGTTCTCATGCGGTTTTGGATAGTTTGACAATGAATACCCCACAGTCTTGGTGGTTGGTCTACACTGAGTTGGACTTGGGTGGATGAGGCCCTTCTCCAGAGATGCAAATTATCACAAAGGTAAGAACAGATGGGCCATGTCTACTCCAGAGTGGATTTTCAAGTCCAGTTTAACACAGTCCACCCCATCTGATAGGTGACCACTAGAATATGAGTTGCTCTCCTCGTTTCTTCCCATCTTAAGCCTCTCCCTATCAATGAATTTTATTGACCTTACTAGTGACTAATCTCCTTATCATTCAGGACAGTTGTTCTCATATGAGAATCACCTATAAACATTTGAAAAACACCAATGCCTAATATTCATTGATTCAGTTTGGGGTGGAGCCCAGGCTCTGGTATTTTGAAAATCTTCTCAGGTAATTCTCACATGCAGTTTGTGATTTAGGTCACAAGATGCACCTCACCTTGCTTAATAAACTGATTCATCAAACTTCTTGACTTTCTTTATACATAGACTTTCACCTTCATCTGGATCTCTTCCATTCCAGTAAATGGCACTTCCATCCATAGTTTCTCAAATTTTTTTGGTTTCAATTTTTTATTTAAATTCTAGTTCATTAACATATAGTGTATAGTGTATAGGAGTGTTCTACTCCTGAATATTAGTTTCAGGAGTAGAATTTAGTGAGTCATCACTTACATATAACACCCAGTGCTCATCACAAGTGCTCCCTTTAATACCCATCACTCATTTAGCCCATCTCCCACCCACCTCCCCTCCAGCAACCCTCAGGTTCTCTATAGTTAAGAGTCTGTCTTATGGTTTGCCTCTCTCTTTTTCCCCCTATGTTCATCTGTTTCATTTCTTAAATTCTTAAATTTCTTAAATTTCATTTCTTAAATGAGTCACATAATTTCTCAAATTAAAACTGAAGATACACTCTTCTTTTTCTAGTCCACCATCCTCAACCAATCCATCAGGAAGTACTGTAGACTAAACTTCCAACCTATCTGTCTTACCTTCATTGCCTTTCTCTTAACCCAGACCATCCTCTTGCCTTCCCTGGACCACTGAAATTTCCTAATTGGTTTCTCATATTCCAATCCTGTATCATCTTCCACAAAGTTCTTAATGTTTTAAAAATGGTTTTAAACTTTTTATTATAAAATATTGCAAATATTTAGTTGGAAATAGGCCCTCAAGGTTTATAAAATCTTAACATTGTATTATATTTGCTTCACAATTGTTGTTTTTTTTTTCTAAAGAAGGAAAACTTAAAAAACAAAGAAGGAAAACCGTTGGTAGAGTTGAAACCTCCTCTATACCCCTCCCTGACACCATTTCCCCCTTCCTTCCCAAAGGTAACCACTTACATAAATTTAGAGTTTATTATTCTCATGTATGCTTTCTACTTTTGGTACATATTTGAATCCATAGTGTTTAGTATCATTTTTAAATATTAGTGGTATTATGTAGATGGTATCAGATTACAGGTTGTTTATTTTACTTAACATGTTTTTGATATTCATTTTAACATAAGAAGCTTTAGTTTATTCATTAAAATTGTTGTATAGTATGGTATCAGAACAAGAGATCATAATTTGTTTATTTTTCTATTGACCACATTGAAATGGTTTTTCATTTTTTCTTTTCATAATTGATGTTAGGCTTCCCGCGGAGCAGGGAGCCCAATGCAGGGCTCGATCCCAGGACCCTGGGATCCTGACCTGAGCTGAAGGCAGACGCTTAACGACTGAGCCACCCAGGCACCCCCCTTCGGTGAATTTTTTAAAAAATTAATACAAATTAGTGTTTTTCTGAAAGTTTGGTTGCAGACTCATTTTGAGCAGGATATTTGGTTTAGTTTGGGTTTTGATTTCCCTCTCTCCTTCAGGGCTTTTCTCACCCTAACTAAGGGTTTACGGTAGCTTCCATGAGTCCCCAGAACAAAACCAGGTCTTAGTATGGAGTTTAAGGGCTCCTGTCCTTGTGACACTAAAGATAACAGACTTCATCAGAAGGCCAACAGTTTTGAGGTTTTGAGGCTATCACCGCTGTCCACAGCCAGCCTCCCTTGCCTCTTAATCAGATGAAATTCATAGCTCTAGATGGTGGTAGACAGTAGGGCTTTGTTGTTTTTTAAGCCTCTTTTAAGAAAGAATATTGAGGTCCTTGGGAGAAGCTTTACTCCACTCAGTGAGCCTGGATCTAGTTTATCATCTTCCTTGGAATCTTTTTAGTCCCTGTTACCTTTTCTTTTTCTTTTCTTTACCTTTTCAAAAGATTTTATTTCTTTATTTGACAGAGAGAGAGAGAAAACATAAGTAGGCAGAGCAGTAGACAGAGGGAGAGGGAGAAGCAGGCTCCTCCCTGAGCAGAGAACCTCTGTTACCTTTTGAGGAGCCAGTCTCTTTTCTCCCTCTCTCTCTTTCTCTTTTCTTCCTCCTTCCCTCCCTCCCTCCCTTCCTTCTCTTCCTTACCATTTGAAAGTAAGTTGTAAGTTGGGACGCCTGGGTGGCTCAGTTAAGTGTCTGCCTTCACCTCAGGCCATGATCCCAGGGTCCTGGGATCGAGCCCCACATCGGGCTCCCTGCTCAGCGGGAAGCCTGCTTCTCCCTCTCCCACCGCCGCTGCTTGTGTTCCCTCTCTCCCTGTGTCTCTCTCTGTCAAATAAATAAATAAATAAAGTCTTAAAAAAAGAAAGTAAGTTGAAAGTATTATGACATTTCACACCAAAATGCTACAGCATGTAATTATCCTAAAAAAACAACATTCTACATAATTACAATACCACTATCACACCTATGAAAGTTTATGTTGATAGAATATTACCTAATATAATTTCCGTGTTCAACTTTCTCTAATTATCACCCCTCCACGCCCAGAAATTGCATAATAATTTTCAGTGAAGGATCACACATTTTATTTAGATTTCAGGTCTCAAGTCTTCTTTAAACCAGCACAGCTCCCATGGCCCTATTTTATTTTTATTTTAAAATTTTTTGTCTCTCAACGATATTGACATTTTTGAAGAGTTCAGGTCAGACTTCTGATAGAATGACCAATAATCTGCATTTTTCTTAATTTTCTCTTTTTTTTAAGATTTTTATTTATTTATTTGACACAGAGAGACACAGAGAGAGAAGGAACGCAAGCAGGGGGAGTGGGAGAGGGAGAAGCAGGCTTCCCGCTGAGCAGGGAGCCCAATGCGGGGCTCGATCCCAGGACCCTGGGATCATGACCTGAGCCGAAGGCAGACGTTTAATGACTGAGCCACCCAGGCACCCCTTAATTTTCTTTTCCTCAATGGTCAGATTCATGTTACACATTTGAAAAGAACACTCATGTTTTTGATGATGTTGTGTCCTCATCACATCGCATCCCATCAGGAGGCATATGATGTTATTTCCCATCAGGAGGTATATGAGTATTTTGTCTCCTTAGTGGTAATGCTAAGTTCCTTAGTGGTAATGCTAAGTTTGATTACTTGTTTAACGTGGTGTCCACCCAATCTCTTCACAATAAAGACATCTTTTTCTCTCTGAATTTAATGGGGAATCTTTGGGGTGGCACCCTAAGACTATGTGAATATTCTGTTTAACAACAACCTTTCACCCAGTGGTATTAGCATCCATTGATGATCCTTGCTTGTAGATGTTATTAATTAGTAGTTGCAAGATAGATAATATATAATTTACCATTCCTTCTACATTTTTAATTAATTTATTTTTAAAGGTTTTATTTATTTATTTATTTGACAGAGGGATAGAGAGCACAAGTAGGCAGAGCGGCAGGCAGAGAGAGAGGGAGAAGCATACTCCCCGCTGAGCAGAGAGCCCAAAGTGGGACTCAGTCCCAGGACCCTGGGATCATGACCTGAGCTGAAGGCAGACATTTAACCATCTGAGCCACCCAGGCGCCCCTGTTCTACATTTTTTAAGCTGACATTCTATAAAGAAGCCCTTTCTCTCCTCCCTTCCATCATACTGGTTTTTTTGTTTTTGTTTTTGTTTTTTTAAAGTATCATTATGAGCTCATAGGTTCTTTTTGCATAGGACATTTTGACTAGAAGTAAAGTAGTGCTTTTCTGCATATATTTTCATAGTGCTTAATCTGAATTTATTAGGTCTTTTTCTTATATGATACTTCATAATCAGTTGTCTATGTGAAATAACATATTTGAATAAATAGCATAGTGTGGAGCTCCATTAAAAACACTTGCCCCTGGGTGGGTGCCTGGGGGGCTTAGTTGGGTAAGGATCCAACTCTTGATTTTGTCTGAGGTCATGATCTCAGAGTCCTGAGATCAAGCCCCATGTTGTGCTCCACGACGGTCCCCACAATAGGCATGGAGCCTGCTTAAGATTTTCTCTCTCGGGCGCCTGGGTGGCTCAGTTGGTTAAGCGACTGCCTTCAGCTCATGTCATGATCCTGGAGTCCCAGGATCGAGTCCCGCATTGGGCTCCCTGCTCAGCGGGGAGTCTGCTTCTCCCTCTGACCCTCCCCCTCTCATGTGGTCTCTCTCTCTCTCTCATTCTCTCTCTCAAATAAATAAAATCTTTAAAAAAAAAAAAAGATTTTCTCTCTCCCTCCCCATCTGCCTCTCCCCCTGTTCTTGAGTGTGTGCTCCGCCCCCCAAAAAAACAAAACCAAAAAACAAAAACAAAAGCACTTGCCCCTTCTCCAACTGTGAGATGTTGTTGTAGTCAGGTTTAGTTTTTTCATCATTTACCATGGTTAACAACTATGGTAGTGATTTATTTTCATTTATTTTCCTTTGGTGACTTCAACATGAAATCAAATCTGGTATTGTTATTAAAAATTCATTGGGTAAAATTCCTAGTGATAAAATACAATACACAGAAATACACTTCTCTCCCCTTCTCCCTGACAACAATGCACATGCATTTAATGTCCTTTCTGTCTTATTTTTAGGATCGAAGATTCAATGATGAAATTGACAAGCTAACTGGATACAAGACAAAATCACTATTGTGCATGCCTATCCGAAGCAGTGATGGTGAGATTATTGGTGTGGCCCAAGCGATAAATAAGATTCCTGAAGGTGCTCCATTTACTGAAGATGATGAAAAAGTAAGTTTTCATGCCTTTTGTGAGTTGTACTCTCCTTGATCATTGATTGCTCTTCTCCCTGAAAAAGACAGGACTTGTGTGAATAGTTGTTGGATTAACCTATTCATAGATCAAAGAGCTTTTTCTCATGTTACACAAAATGTAATGGAAGTTTGGGATATTTCATAGAATGTGTTACAATTGAAAATAACTACTTCATCTTTTTCTTAGTTTACTTTTCATTGCAAGCCTCAGTAGTATTCTTTCCTTGGTTTTTATCTTCCGTATACATAAGCTTTTTAATTGAGGATCACACCACCACTACACATGGCCCAAGGGAAGATATGGAATTAGGAAGATGACTGTGTTTCAGAAACTCAACACTTGCTCTTGTGTTTTCATAACTACTATGAAGAATTGTTTTCTCAGTTCTTATATGAAAATCTCAATGAAATGAATGTTATTTAATCGTCATTCCAAATTACTAATAAAGAGAACATTATTTTGTCTCTAAAGAACACTTGGCTTTGGTAGAAGTGATGTATTTTTGTTCTGAAATGTTAAGTTCTTTCACCATAGTTTATTCACCAGCTCATATTAAAAGAGAGACTCTTCAAAAAGCTGTTCTTTCTGACTTTGAAGCTCTTACCTTTATATTGAATAAAATCTGGTGGAATATTTATGAAATTTGTGGTAAAAGCAAATCTCAAATTAGTTTAAGTTTGATGACTGCCATACACCTATTTGATTAAAAAAAACACTTTATAATTTAACCTTCTGGGTGTGAGTTTGCTATTTGCTAGTGCTAATTATTAATGCATTAAACGAATGCAAATGTTCTGGTTCAAAAAGTCAGCGTGAAATATGATTATAAGGAGACAAGATTTTTAAGTGAAGAGAGTCCTTTACTGAGGTCATATCTGTAGTTGAATTTGAATATCCCAAATCCCAGAAAAGGTTTATAAACCCTTAGAGCGTGATAGGACCTCAGACAATTTCTTACCGATTCAGTGAAAAACTGCAGTGTGAAACACTTGTGTTGGGGCTGTAGGAAGCACAAAGATAAAACCCAAGTGTTTATGCCATCCTGGAGCTGAACAAGGCAGAAGGCAAGATCATTAATAAGATGACCTAGAACATGCTATGAATGCCTAGGAAAGGGAGGGTTCACCTCACCTGAAGAACCTTCTTGGAAGAGGTGGCATTTGCTCTGATCTCTCAAGAACGCCTAGGCTTCCATAAGACAGAGTCGGGTGAGAAGGTGAGGGCGTTTAGGGATGTATACAATGTAGGCTGCCTCATTCACTCTGCAAATGCTTCCATGGAATGTACCGATAAAGCAAAAATGTTCTTTTGTACCAAATGTGACAGAGTCTTATAATAATGTACCTCTTATAAGGATTCAGATAAAAGGATTAGAGTTTTGTGTTTTTCCAAACATACAACCACCTGCCCACAACATCTTCCAAACAGTTTAGTTTGTGGATGGTAGTTCTGCCTTCACCCTGCCTCCTTCATTTAAAAGGATCCTGTTATATATTTAATTCTCATCTCTGATTGCATTTATGTTAGATTTGTTTTCTGAACTTCTCTCAGTAGATTTATACTTATGGCCTAGGGCTTCATGGGCTCTGAATGATTTACAGGGAAGGTCTACACCGGGCTTTGTCTTGAGCAGCATCAGTGTTTAGCTCTATTGAGAACGAGGGCTGGGACGGAGGTCTGGCCCCACTAAGGACAAATGGGCCTGCTTTGGGTGAGACACTTAATCTTGTGACTCTCCTTTTTCTCCCCTGTCAATGATACTATTCACCATTTACAACATGAGAATTAAATAAGATCATAAATTAAAAATACTTTGCAAAATAGAAGAAGCTAGGTAAATATAAAACATAAATTTTATTTTTTAAATTATCATTTTCCCAAGAGTTTGAAATGTTCTTCTATATTTGTCACTTATCCTCAGGCAACTTATTTTTTAGATTCAACGTCATTTGAGTATCACATTTGTTCCATGTGTTATATTTTTCTCCTTTGCAATTATCCCATGTGCCCACAATTGCATTTTATTTTTCAGCCTCTACAATTCCCTCACCTGATTTAAAAACCCTACTCTAGTCTTACTTCTTGGATGAAGTCTTACCAGTTAAGGCAAGTTGATTATGCTCATGCAGGTGACACTAGATGGAGAGTATTTTATCTCAACTTCTATATCTGGTTATTGTTTTTTCCTACAACGATTCTATATATTATAAACAAAACAGAAGTGGTGAAGAAGAAAAGCAGAAAACAAAATCTAGAAATGATTAATGGGAAGGAACAAGAACTAGAGACTTGTTTCAAGTAAGAGAAGATGTTGTGACATAATGACCCATATAGGCCATAGCAATAGTCTACCCTGGCTGAAATTCCATCTCTGCCATAGCTGTGTAAACTTGGGCAAGTTGCTTAGTTGTTTTGTGCTCCAATTTCCTCCTCTTGGAAGAGAGATGATAATAATAATACCTATCTCATGAGATTATAGGGGGATTATATGAGAGAATACAGGGAGAGAACTTGGAAGAGCGCCTAGCACATAGTAAGTCCTCGTAAAAAAATAGCTCTCACTGACAGCACATTAATACATGTGAGGTACAGTCTGGTCTCTGTTTAAAAACTAGCTCTATATAAGTTGTCTACAAGTTTTTATTAATGACAGCCTATATACCTGTTCCACTATTGGAGCTACAACAATGAAATGAGGCTTATATGTCTTTATAAATTCACATTTCTCTTGTGTGATTGTTAATGCATAGAGTATTTTACTTGGCACAAGTAAAAAAGAAAAGTCTCGGCATAAGACTATGCTTATACTAATTTGTATTCTACTTTTTAGAGTTATTTCTTACATATATGTCCACGTGTGGATGTAGTCTACATTTGCCATTATTAGGGATTATGAAGTTTTTTTCTTTTTCTTTTTCTACATGGCCTAGTTTGCTTAGTCATTGTCCTATTGTCCTATTACTGGAAATTTGGGTTATTTCCAGTTTTTCACTAATTCAAAATAGCCCCTGAATGAACATCTTGAACAAATTACCTTTTTCTTTTGTGTTATTTCCTTGGGGTATATTCCAAAGACTGAAATTACTGAGTCAAAGGGCAAGAAAAGTTTTATAGCTCTCATTCCAAGATACAGATAGCTTTCGGGAATACTGAACCTATTTACAATAGTAGTAGCTTGCCCACACCTCTTTTTTGCAGAGCCCTACCAACTTTGTTCAGTCCCCATTTTAAAACTCAAATTAGTTTTCCGCAGCCTGCCAGCCGGCTTCAAACAACCTCCTCCCGCACTCACCACTATAACTTAAGCAACAGAAGTTTCAGTGGCTGTGCCGTATCACATAAAGTTGATGGAAAAGCCTGGAAAGGTCATCAAGATAATTTCCCACCAACCCTGCCCTCATCCAATGCAGGAATCTTTACCTGAGAGATGATCATCCAGACGCTGCCTAAAAACTTCACTTTTAATGACTTTAAAATCATCATATTCTTTAAAGTTCTTGCATAATAGCAGTAATTTTATCAACAGTGGTTAAAGTTTTGTGTGAAGTAACAGTCTACCATAGGCACATATTAATAATTTAAATTACATAGTGACAAATTACTAGTTCTGTAATTCACGTTGTAAGTGCACACAAAGGCAGATCATACAAGGGAGATACTTGTAATTTCCTGGTTCACTTCATGGGTTTCTAGCAAATGTCCCTAATCTTCAGTGATACGTATAAGCTAGCTGATTTAGGTGGTATAACTATGTTCCTTTCATCCAATTAATTTATCACTTTGTTATTCTTGGGTGAGTAAAGAGAGGCATTATTTTGCAGAATAAAATGAGACCTGAATGGGGAGCAAACACTGGTTATCTATCAAGATGTAGGGGCAGGCCAGATGAAACCTGGAATATGGCAATGAACATGGGCTCTTATCTGCCCTTCCCAGTTTGCCCATACCTGGTCCCCAAAGGAGCCATTTCTTATTGCAGTATTGCATAAAGACGATGTCTATTGCATTCACTTTCCAACAGCTGACATATAAGCAGCTGTGGCTTGAAGTTCTCCAGCTAATCTCAACAGGGTTTCTTTAGTGTGTGGTCACCTCTCTCCAGCTCATAATTCAGAATGTTCAGCCATCCTGCTGCTCTCCTTCATGCCAGCGTGTTCAGACACCCTGCAGAGCTGGGATGCAGCCAGCTGAGCTTGGCTACTGGGACTGGCCACATTCCAGGACTTCGTTATGGGTGACGCTGCCCTGCCAATTGGTGTTGAGGATGGTGCACGAATGATGCTAATGAGATTTGCAGAAGCTGGAGTTTTGTTATTGACAACAGGCCTGAAACTTCCAGCCAAGTAATGGGAAGGATTTGATAAGCTCTTGGCTTTACATTTTTAAGCTGTTCCTGATTGTGCAAAGGCTAATGTTTAGGATCCTGGTGAGATGTCAAGGGTGCAAAAGGTATTACAATTCATTTTGGTGAGGAGGAGGGAAATTGAGTATGTCTTGCTGATAGGGGTGACAAATCGGGGGTCCCAGAAGACTGAATGCAGCTCACAGATGTGTAACTTGTATGGAAGTTGACTGGCATACAATTGATTTTTTTTTTTTAAGTCTTTGGCTGTAAGCTTTAGTTCTGCCATAATAGCCAATCCCTGAACAACTAGTCAGTTTAATAAAATCAGCTTTTTTTTCTGTCATCTTCTAAAGAGTTAGTTTCTACACAAAGGTAGTTTTCAACAAGTACTTTTTAAATAGTTGTTATTTTGAAAAATCTCTTGTATACATGGCTAGTGGTATTGCAATTCCGCCAGGCAAGTTTATGTGTTTTCTATTAATGCTCTGTTGTCTTTTGGATACTCAAATGCTAAATGAGCAGTGAATTAACTAATTGTAAGAAGTGGCCTTTGTATTCTTATTTCATTTTCCCTGCTTTTCTACCTATATTCCAATTAAGTTAGATTTTCAAAACTATGGCAATAAAATTA